AGAGAAGCCGTATAAATGCACAGAGTGTGGAAAATGCTTCAGTGCCCTATGTAATCTTACTTCCCATAAGAGGATCCACACAGGGGAGAAACCCTATGAATGCCTGGAGTGTGGAAAAAGCTTCAACAGACGTGATACCCTAATTTTACATAATAGGATCCACACAGGGGAGAAACCATACAAATGCCTGGAGTGTGGAAAGAGCTTCAGTCAAAAAGGTCAACTTAAGTCACACGAGATGATACACACGGGAGAAAAACCATTTCAATGCATGGAGTGTGGAAAGAGCTTCCAATGCTCTGCACACCTTACTGCCCATCACAGAATCCACACAGGGGAGAAACCCTTTAAGTGCCTGGAGTGTGGAAAGCGCTTTGTCTGTTCTAGTGGCCTTCATGCCCACAACTGGACCCACACAGGGGAGAAACCATACAAATGCCTGGAGTGTGGAAAGAGCTTCCGTAAATCCGGACACCTAACTTCCCACAGAAGAATCCACAGTGGAGAGAAACCATATCAATGCACCGAGTGTGGGAAGCACTTCACTCAAACAAGTAATCTTACTCTCCATAAAAGGACTCACACGGGTGAAAAGCCCTATAAGTGCATCGAGTGTGACAAACGCTTCACCAGTTCAGGTTCCCTCACTTGCCACAAAAGGCTCCACACTGGGGAGAAACCATATGAATGCCGCACATGTGGAAAGAGCTTCGGTGAAAAAAAGAAGTATATTGTGCATAGCAGGACCCACACTGGGGAGAAACCCTATCAGTGCCCCGAGTGTGGAAAATGCTTCAGTGATTCTGGAGCACTGAGGATCCACACAAGGATCCACACAGGGGAGAAACCCTATAAGTGTACGGAGTGTGACATGAGTTTTAGGAGAAGTGGTTGCCTTGGTAAGCACAAGAGAATCCACACTGGGGAGAAACCGTATACATGTCATGAGTGCGGAAAAAGCTTTAGAGGTTATAATTCCCTCAGGATCCATAGAAGTCTTCACACAGGGGAGAAACCCTATAAATGCCTGGAGTGTGGGAAATGTTATAGGGAGAGTGGCCAGCTTACCTCCCACAATAGGATCCACACAGGAGAGAAGCCATTTAAATGCATTGTGTGTGGAAAGGATTTCAGAGATGGCAGGAATCTTACACGCCATAAAAAAATCCACATGGGAGGAGCCCTATCAGTGTGTGGAGTGTGGAAAGAAATTCAGAACCTGGAGTAATTTTAATTGCCATACGACGACACACACACAGCAGGAAAAGATGATGTAAGGCATAAACATCAAGATAGGTGGGGAGCGGGTGGACCTGCCTCACGCACCCCTTACCCACTTACCTGAGGACTGCCACAGTCAGACCTCCCAT